CCCGGGAAGCTCGTCCGAGCAGCCTCTGTTGGCCCCAGTAGTGGGCAGCACTTGGAGATGTGGCTTTGCAGGGTGGCAGGGGAGGGCCAGGCAGCCGGATCAGGGGACAAGCCTGAAACCTCGTGAGGGGGAGAAACAGGGGCAGTGGGTTAGTACTGACGGTTTGCAGTCGGGTACGCTGGAAAGGTCTGAAGACACAGCCTTCCAGGAGCTGGTGATTAGTGCTGATCACGCCCCAGGCTCGATTCTCAATGTTTTATATGCATCACCAGTCTACCATTTAATGTACACGACAACCAGATCCAGGCCGGTACTATAATCGCCCCCATTGTCAGACGAGAAAACGGAGTCAGTTGAGCTTCCCATGGTCGTGCAGCTGGGAAGTGGTGAAGACTCAAGCCTAGGCAGTCTAGCTCCAGAGCAAGCGCTTGGAACCATTTTGGGACACGACCAATGTTCTAAAGGACATCTGTGTACCTGGCCACATGTTCACGATGGAGGCAGGATAGGTGTTGGGGGGTCCATTTTTCCAGCTGAGGCTTAGAAAAAAAGTGAAGTGGCTTGCCCAGAAGTTGAAGTGAGGGGCAAAGCTTAGTCTGGGGTCTCAGATTTCCAGCTTTCTGCCCCGTGCACCCTGCCCTAGGTCAGGCGTTTCTGGGCAGGACCCAGATGGGGGGCCTGGGCATCAAACAGCAGGCATCAGAATTGGAGGTGCTGGCCCAGACGGGCACTGGGCCCGGGTGTACTGAGCAGTGGGTGCAGAGTCCGATCTGCCATGGGGAAGGAGTTGGGCATTGCAACAGACTGCCCAGGTGGTAGCAAAAAGTGGGAAGAAAACATGTTTGTTGAGGATCTGCTATATGCCAGACACTTTTACCTTTTGTGTAATCCTTACAGCAGCCCCGAGAAGCTTCTCATTCCAGATGTGAGAGGTTACCCAACTAGGGGTGGAGGAGCCAGATTCCAGCCTTGGTCCGGGCTCCTGAAGCCCGTGACTCTCTACTTCTCGACCCCATGCTGCAGCCCGAGCTCCCTCTCACCTCCAGCCAAGTGAGGTGCACGGGGCCAACGCATCAGCTGGCTGGAGCCTTGTGGGGCCGAGAGCATGACCGTCTTCCTCACTCTCCTTTAGGGACAAGCCCACAGCAGCCTGAAGTTGAGTCACCTCCCAGGCTGAGGCTGCCTTTGCACTTCTCAAGTGGCCGAAGCGTGGGTGGGAGCAGAGGGCGAGCACTGTGCCCTCAAGTCACCCTGCGGCACACACGTGAGCCCTGGGGCAGCTCTGCCTCTGTGGGCTGGGGAGCAGGCGTGACTGGGTGTGCCGGGTTGGCTCACAGGCACAGCAGTCACAACTCCGAGACTTGTTATCATCCCCTTTGCAGGTGAGGAAATGAGGCTCGGAAAGGCTACTCGACTCACACAGCCGGTGCCCAGTGGGGCTGGGAGCAAGGCTTCCTCACCCCTAGACTTCGTCCTGTGTCCTACAATCCTGGGCCCAAAGACAGGTCCAGCAGCAGCAGCCATGCTGGGGTGACCTCATCTACAGGGGCTGGCATAGGGGAGATGGGGATGAGGGACCAGGAGGGCAGGGCCTGGAAGCGACCCAAGATCCTGTGCCCAACAAGGTGGGTGATAGTGGTGACCCTGCTGTGGGCCCAGGATCCGGATCCACGGGGCCCAGTCCAGCAGGGCCTCTCACCAGCTGCACCAGTCAGATCAACCAGTCCAGGGCCAGTGCCAGGGTTCTGGGCTATATGTCCACTTGGAACAACACTCCAGCCAGGCCATGAGTGACGAATAGGGGCGACAGGTGTCAAAAACAAAGCAGAAAGTCAAGGTTCAACAGGGGAGAAAGAGGATAGGGTGGGCAAGGACCTCTGAGTTTAGGAAGACCTACGTTTCCTTTCTAAGCCACTTAGTAGCTGAGCGACCTTGGGTAAGTTACTTCACCTCTCTGTGTTCATCTACAGATGGGAGGATAATGCAGATAAAGCACCCAGCACAGGGAGCACTGGGCGAGGAGTCTGGGCAACTGGTGGGAAGGCTGCCCTGGACCCTGGGTCTGTGGCCACGTGACTCCTCCCAGCCTCCACCTGCTGGTGGGGCTGAAATTCCTTGTGAGATCCTGCTCTGGTCACAGCTGGACTGGGCACTGGGCCAACCTCAGCCTGTGGGTGGAGGACAGCAGTGACTCAGGCCCCGGGCAAAATTGGCCTGGCGATGCTGCCACCAAGGAAGTGGCAGTGGTAAGGCAGACACGGGGTGCTTTCACTCAGAAACCCCACAAAGTTGAGATAAGCACGGGCTGTAAATTCAACCTCCACCGGAGTAAAATCTTCTCTCTACTGACTTCTGGCCCTCTCTCTTCAACTTGGAGTTTTCTATAAGAGCACTGCACGGTCTCAGAAGCCGGGTCCTGCAGTGCCCTCCTCACACATCCTGTCCAAGCTGATTAGGAGGCCTGGACTCTTCTATGGGGAGCACTAGGCTGAAGACGGCAGAATGAAGGGTCTTTGCTAATAACACCACCCCTGGTTCAAGTCCCCTCATGTCCCCAGGCATGGGGGAGCTGGTCACCCACTAGTTGAAGAGTCAACTAATTTGCCTGCCTCTGGCTTCTCTGTTGAATAAAAGGAGGAAAATGAAGATGTGTATGGTCTGGAAATATACAAGGATATGCACTAAAAACTGCTGCTTGGGATTAAATCAGAGAACTGTTAGAGAAAGGCAACTTTTCGAGGCTCCCCCCTCACTGAAAAATGCCCTTCTCTTTAGCAAGTTTTGTTCCCTCCCCAAAACGTGAGCTAGTTGCACAAGCCTGCTGGGGTCACATGAGACTTGAGACCTAGAGCAGCCAAGCCCCATGAGCTGCTATTTCAGTGACTGGGGGACAAGGACGCCCCAACTCCCCCCGTCTGCCCTTCTGCTTGGAGATGTATTTTCACTTTCCTTCCTCCCTCCCTGGGAAGGAATGATCCTCTGTGAAATGCCCACGCAGGCAAATAACAAAGAACAGGGGACAAAAGCCTGGATAATCCCCCCATCAGCCAAGCAGCCGGCCCCTCCCAACTAAGAACAGCCGGCCTCCCCCAGGGAAGCTGGCACTGACATGGCCCTTCCTCTCCTCCGCTGCCCCCAGCGCTGCACCATCACAGCTGGACACCCTCTCCCCGCTTCACTCCAGGCTAGTTCCATATCATTTCACTAACAGGGACACTTCTTCCTCTTCTCTAAGCTGTCCCCCTTCACCCGAGCCTGCGAGACCCCCATTACTCCTCCGGTAGCTCCAGGGTGACCCCACATCCAAGCTCAGAGACTGCTGTTTTACTTTAAAACAGACACGCTGCCCATCTCTAAAACACCTGAAGTGGAGATGAGTCGGCAGCCAGACGGACGCCCCAATGATAGCAGCATTCAAGTCGGTGAAACAACCAAGGCGAGGTTTCAGGCTCCTGCAAGAGGAGGGAGGGGGAAGAATTTATTTAAAAAAATTTTTTTTGATTAATTTTTTTAGGTATCAAGTTCCAAGAAACCTTTCAAGGGTGTCGTCTTCAATTCTCTGGAGGGATGTGTACCAGCCTGAGATGGTGGGGAGCGTGAGCTGCCGCCACTGGGTGGATTACTGGCTGCTTCCCGGTTAATCAGGCACCTGCAGGACACCACACAGCCGGAGCAGCTCAGAGAAGGAGCGTGCTAGTGCACGGTTCCCAGGTTCTCCACTTGTTGGAGGCAAGCTCTGTTCTTTCCGCACCACTCTTGAGAAGGAACTCCCGACCTGATCCAGTTCCTCTCTCTCTCTGATTTCTAAGCCAGCCTGCTCCCCCATGCTGCAGCCTTGCAGAAGCCTTCAAAGACTCTGAAAAAAATCACTTACTACTTGTGTCAAGTGATCATGAATATGTGGGGCCACAGAACCTGAGGGCTGCCTTTTGAAACAACAGCTTCAAAATATACAGCTACCCCAAACAAACCAGGACAAAGCAATACCTAATTCTGCTGACCAACGCTTCAGAGCTCTATATGTTAATAACAAATAAATCTATGAAAGTGAGGGGGCTAGCGGCCCCCCTCTGGACACCTTCTCCCCCTCCACCCACTCTCCATCCTCTCCGCCTGCTCCTTGGCTGTGGTTCAGTCCGCAGGGACTGGGAGGAGATCGGAGGGAGGAAGGGAAGGAGATCTACCTCCCACAGGTCATAGCAGGCTGGATCCGCCCGCCCCTCGCCCTGTCAGGCCTGAGGTGGAATGGCTTCACTATTATCAGTTCTGGGATATAATGCACAACCTCTTAGGGTTCCCACACCCACTCTTCAAATATCCTCAAATTACCCAATTTGAGTATGCTGTTTCCTGCCAAGACCCTGACTAACAGGGCCACCAATTAGGCTTTCATTAAATTTGTATTTGTTATGCCCTTGAGCCAACGGTCTTGACATGTTGTAAACATGGACTTGAAAGACCCCACCTCGACCCAGGCCACGGACTAATGATCCCTGTCTGAAAATGCAGGCCTGCCACGCCTGGTCCCTGGTCCTGGGAGGCCCTTTGGAACCCAAGTGTAGGGAATGAAGGCTCCTGGAAGGCCTGTCTGTCTGGGGTTCCCAGTCTGGTTGGGGGGTGCTCTCTCACCCACAGAAAGCAGGGGTCTGTGCAGGCTTGGGTCTCAGGCTTGAGGACTGGCCACCCAGGGGGACCTGCATTCCAGGGGGACCCCTTCTGGGTAGGGAGGGCTGAGAATTCTCACACCTTGCTGTCAACTGGAAGGAGCAAGGCTGGGAGACGGCAACCCACCCGCAGTGGACTCTGGCATTGGCACTCGGGCGAGCGAACACTGACAACACGGTTCACAAGAGGCTAGAAGGAAAGGCGGAATGTAACCACCGGCAAGGAAAGTGATAGCCCACTCTGTAACTGTGTGACTGCATCTTAAGATGTCTTCTGGTCTTCTTCAAACGTCTCAGGAGGGTTCTGTTTGAGTCTGGCATGTGTCTGTCTGGCACCAGCTCCTTGGGAAAGATGAGGCCCGAGTGTGCTCTGCTCTCTGCACTGAGCCCACCTCCAGCCCTTCCTGCAGGCCGCCTGAGCCCTCCCGGCACGTCCTCCCCACCTCACTGAGCATCACGCAGGCTCTGACGTTCTTGCCATCGCCCCCTCCTAGATGAGGTGCACGAGCAGGGCGGAGAAGGCCGAGCCGAGGACCAAGCCCAAGTACAAGTAAAAGGACATCACCACCCCCGTGGCCTCGGCCAGCTCCCTGGGCACGATCTTGGGCCCGTAGATGAGAGGCAGCGTGCTGAGGTAGCCGTTGCTGAGCCCCAGCAGGGAGGTGAAGAGCGCCGGGTAGGCGTCGGACTGGAAGGCCACCGTCTGCAGGTGGACGCGGGGCTGGTAGTTGCAGAACACGAAGAGGGGGACGAGGCAGGTCCGGAGGAGCGCAAGCCCAGGGAGCAGCTGACTTCTGGGCCCTGGCACCTGGATCCAGGCAGTGATCTGCCGACCACACAGATCAGCAAAGTTGTAGAGGAGGAAGGTGGTGAGCGGGACGAAGAACTTGGTGGTCCACAGCGAGCCCGAGCCCTTGTTGAGGGACTCGATGTTGGTGCAGATGGCAGGGAAAATCAGGCTGGTGACGAAGAGGACGTAGATGACGCAGAAGCCCAGGCCAGCTGTCTTCTTCAGGATGGGGCGGAGGGGTGGCGTCGAGGAGTCACGGGACCCGGGGGCCACCAAAGGAGCATTGGGGGAGTCCTGGGGCAGCTGCTCTTCACCAGAAAACACGTGGGCTGGCCAAACAGGCTTCAGATAGTATCTGCAGGGGAGAGGGCACGTGGTCAGAGGGCCTGGAAAGCAGGGTCACTTGGGATTTCCAGGGACAAGGCGGGGGACCTTTAGGCCCAGCATGTAAAGCCTAAGACTCATATAGCCCACAGCCCCAGCATGACCTCAGATGACATACATGCTGCGGGGTGGCCAGAGAGAGCCCTACATAGTCCCCGACCTGCCTGTCCTGGCGCTGCCTGAAAGGCTGGACTCTAGTCCATTGTTCTGTGGTGGTGGCCGTGTCACCAGCAGGGACAAGGGAGACCAGCACTGACCACTGCGGTGAGCCTAGCTTGGCTCACTTGCTTTTGTTTTGTTTTGGCGGTGGGTGGGTGGAGATAAAACAGCATTAAAAAATAGAAATTTTTAAAATTATAAAAGTAACACATGCTTGATGCACTGAACCCAAATAATACAGAAGATAAATGATATAGTAGAAGGAGAAGTCTCACCTCTTGTCTCACTCTTTAGAGGTACCGATTGTTAAAAGTCTGGTGTATATTGGTCCACGCACATGCAAACCCCCCACACACACATAAGTAGTTACGTTTCTTACGCAAAAGTGGGATCAAACTATACATATTGTAAAACTTCCCGCAACAGTATAATCCCTAAATATATTATATAAGTAATATATATAAATACATTATGTAACTACCTAAATACATGCATAACTATTACACATAAATGCATACACATAATTGCCTAAAAAACAATATCCTGTGGCCATCCTTTCACATGGGGACACATGGCTCTGTGTCTCCCTGTTGCCCTGCTGCATAGTATTTCACTGCATGGATATACAACTTAACTGTTCCCCTATTGGTGGACATTTATGTTAGCTCCAATTTTTCTGTACTACAAATAATGGTGCAATGAATATCCCTATACATAAATCCTTGCACATGTACACTAGTATTTCAGTAGGGCAGATTTCTAGAAGAGGAACTGTTGGATCAAAAGGTTTGCACCTTTAAATTTTTGATAGATATTGATAAACTGCTGGCCAAATATGTGTGATCAATTTAGCTCTGGTCTGTACCACCCACTCACTCTAACTTAACCCACCCTTTTAATCTCTATGCGAGCACCTGTTTCTTTAAAAAAAACTGACCACAGTTTATAATCATTGCATTAGTTTACTGGTTTATCATCTGTCACCTTCAATAGAAGACAGCTCTCCGGGGCAAGGACCATGTTTGGCTGTTTCCAGCTAAATCTCTGGGCACAGAATAGCCCCTCAAAACATAATTATTGAAAGAATTGATAAGCCTATAATAGTGCCTTTTCCCCCATATCCTCATCATTGAATATTATCAATCTTTTCAATTTCTGCTCTTGTGACCAGAGTAGAAAAGGCTTGGATCACTTTGCCTTGCTGTGTGACCTTGCTGGAGTCATTCAACCTCTTTGGACCTCGGGTGTCTGAAAACCAGGAGACATATGCTGACTGTATTAACATACCTCAAACAGAAGGCTTGGTGTGGGGGTGGGAGAAAGTAGCTTGGTGACAGCTGGGTTCTGGTTTCAGTTCTACTTCTGCCTCCCTGTGTGACCTTAGGCCAGGTACTCCCTTCTCTGGACCTCAGTTTCCTGCTCTGTAAAATGGAGGAGTTCTGCAGCCGTGAGCTTCTGAGATCCCTGCCAGTCCTCCCATCCTAAGAGCCTACAGATAACAAGCGAGTCAGTGGGAGGACTCCTCCCTGGAATCAACTTTCCATGTGATGCTGAGCAGGGCTCTTCGGTCTGGAGCCCTGTCTTGTTTCACAGTGACTATGTAGGGAAAGGAATAGTCTTACTTCCCTGTCTACTCAGCATCGGGTCCTTGCCTTAAGTCTGCTCTGAGGAAACCCCCACCAAGTTCCTCTGGGCGAAGCTCTTCCTCCTAAGTTCTTCTACATCTGACGGTCTCATCCCCCCAGACCATAGTCAGAACCTTCGACGCAGTTTGAGGCTGAGTTCCTCCTGTGTGGGAGGGGGCCGCCCAGCCCAGCCCTCCTGCGTGCAGCACCTGTGGGCTCCCTGATAAGCAAGATTTGATCTGAGCAGCTCCGGGAGCACAGCTCTCTCTAAAACTCCATCCTCAGATGAGTTTCTGTAAACCCAGAAGTCTTGACCACAGTGTTTTGTTTTTTTTTAATTAATTAATTAATTATTTTTTTTTTTCCCCAAAGCCCCAGTAGATAGTTGTATATCATAGCTGCACATCCTTCTAGTTGCTGCATGTGGGACGCGGCCTCAGCACGGCCAGAGAAGCGGTGCGTCAGTGCGTGCCCGGGATCCGAACCCGGGCCGCCAGCAGCGGAGCGCGCGCACTCAACTACCAAGCCACGGGGCCGGCCCTTAAGCACAGTTTTAATCAGCAACAAAACAGAAGCTTCCATGGGACAGCACAGCCTTGGGTGTTCTCTGTCTTACGTGCTCAGCTGGAAAGGATTTTGGCCTGCTCAAGTGAGACTGGAAACTAGGGTGACCAACTGTTCCCATTTGCCTGAGACTGTGCTGGTGTCAGCACTGAAAGCCCCTCGCCCTGGGGCCCCCTTCAGTCCCAGGCAGACAGGGGAGGTTGGCCACCCCACTGGAAACAGACCCACGTGAAGCCCTCTGAAACAGGACCCGGGGGACAGCAGAAGGAGTGGGCAGAGCTCCCACCTTCTGTGCATCCAGTGACTCAAAATAATTGAATCAGCAGCAAGAGGTGCCCGGCAGTGTGGGGGTGTTGGGGCACAGGGAGCCAGCCAAACTGCAGGAATCACAGGGACACTGTCACAGAGCACAACCGGGCAATCTTTGATGATGGCCCTGAAGGGATGAGGAGGGGTGGCCAGGCTCATGGGTCTGTAGCCACCTGGGATACTGGGGGACATGGTGTCAAATCACTCGGTCCCCTTTTATCCTCCTGCAGCCACTGAGGCCAGCTGAAGTCAGAACGATCCTTTCACTGGGGAAAGCAGCCTGCCCCAGTGGAACTGGGGTTCTGGTGCAGGCAGGGGCTCTGGGGACTAATGAGGTGACTCTCCCAGGGACAGGAGGAATGAATGAGGAGGAAAGACCCTCGAGGTGACAAGCCAGGGATGCAGCATGATGCGGTGGAAAGACTGCAGCTCCGATATCAAATCCCTGCCCATGATTCGCCAGGTGAGCAACCTGGGCACGTGTGTTAGCTCTCCTCAGTCTCCTCATCTGTGAAATGGGAAAATTCTGTAACAACTGCACACGGTTGTCTATCGTGTATAATAAAGGAAACAAGGTACACATGAACTGCTTGGCTTGTGCCACCACACAAAACAGGTCCCTGCGGAAAAGGGCAGAGCCAGGACCCCGGCTCCCCCAGCTCTGCCGGCTCCACACTGTGGGGCCACAGGCCAATCACCCGGCCTTCTCTGTCTCCGTTTCTCCACTTGTAAAATGGGGAAAAGAATTGTCTTTCCTACCTCAAATGAGATAATGGATCTGAAAACGCTTTGAGATGAATAAAATGTGAGAAAATGTCAAGGGTGGTTTGTAATTTATTTATTTATTTTTTTGGTGAGGAAGATCAGCCCTGAGCTAACATCTGTTGCCAATCCTTCTCATTTTGCCGAGGAAGACTGGCCCTGGGCTAACATCTGTGCCCATCTTCCTCCACTTTATATGGGAAGCCTCCACAGCATGGCCCCACAAGCAGTGCGTTGGTGCGCGCTCGGGATCCGAACCCGTGAACCCTGGGCCGCTGCAGCGGAGCTCGCGCACTTAACCGCTTGCGCCACTGGGCCGGCCCCAAGGGTGGTTTTTTAAAGAGCAACAGGAAGCAAGAAAGAAAAAGGAGGCACAACAGAGAGAAAGAGAGAGAGGAAGGCAAGAAAAGAGGCCCCACGGGGTGGAGAGACACCCCAGGAGACCCTGGTTAAAAACAGAGGTCCAGAGTCAGGTTCGAATCCTGATCCTGCTGCCGAGAGGCTATGGGACTCACAAGTAACTCAGCCTCTCTGAGCTGGGTTTTCTCGTGCGAGAATGGGAACAGTCATGACACATCATAGGGCTGCACCCTACAAGGAACAGGTGCGCGCACATTAACCAGACGACCCATCAGGCGAGGCTGAGCACGAGGCAGGAGAGAGGAGGCGCTCAGCAAATGGAGCTGTTATTCACCATTATTATTCCTCAGGTCCTCCTCCCCCGCCGGCCCTCCCTGTCTGAAAACTCGCGGACTCCAGCTGCTTGGGGGCGTGGCACGAGGCCAGCTTCTCACATCCACCACCCGGCTAATTTACTGAGCAACTACTATGAGCTGGCAGAGCTCGAGGCCCCAGGATACAGCAGTGAAGAAAATCCATCCAAGTGCTGCCCTCAGGGGGCTCACACTCCAGCGGGGAGACGGGCAGTAAACAAGGAAACAAGCACGCCATCTAGTTACATGATGGAAGAATGCAGATAATACAAAGACATAACCATTCATAAGAGAAGGATGAACTGAGAGCGAGGGGCGGGGCCTCACCTGGCGTACTCCAGCCGGGGCAGCAGCAGGTAGAGCCCCACGCAGAGGCCAAGGAAGATGTCTGCGGTCAGGAAGAAGGCCAGGGCGCTGTCCGTCACGTCGCTGGACGCCGCCAGGTCCACCAGGGAGGCCACGGCACTGACGGTGCCCCCCATGGCTCCTCCTGCAGAGAGCACAGGACACCACCGAGATGGTCAGGGGCAGGTCCACCTTCCCTGCGTCTCAGGCCTGCCCTGCTCTGCTCGGGTTTAAGAGAACCCAAGTAAAAGTTCTCCCTGCTGAGAAAATGCTGCCGTTCTCACGGCCTCCCAAAGCCTTGGCAAACATGGGCGTCTGCAGCCATGAGGTTTCTGACTCTAAGAGGCCACGGGTTTCCATGTCCCCAGCCCAGGTCTCTCTGATGTGCTTGGAAGATGCTGCCGCCTGAGGTGGCAAATGGCCTCCAAGGTTTCACCTCCGACACTTGACCCTCCATCTCTCTCTATTGCCCTTCTGGTGGGGTCAGAAATTTGAGATTCAGGAGTGGGACGTCTCAGAGAGCTCCTCTCCCCTGTCCTCGGCCCAAACCACCCACCAACCAAACTGGGAAAGAGGCTCAGGGGATGACCTGGCACAGGCTCTCCCACTGCCTCCGAGCAAGGCTGTCCGATCTAGGGAGTCCTTACCAGTTACAAACCCCTGTGCCGCCCAGCTGTGAGCTCACACAACTTACCTTGTTCCCGACGGCAGCTGGGGCACCGTACATGTGTGAATGCGTGTGTGAACACATGTGCACACACCCACACACACATACACTCTCTCACACACACCTTACCATGTACACACACTCACATATACACACATACACTATCTCATACACAAACACCCACTCACACGCACAAACACACTCACATGCATGCAACCGCCTCACCAGCTGGAATGTTCTCTCTTGCCAAGGGCTTTGACATGTGTCCCCATGTGACCCTACACCTTTCACTGCTGCCTGACAGAGGAGACAGCTCAGCTCAGTGGACCCACAGGTCCTGGAGCCAAACAACCATACATTTGCCCCCTGACTCTGCCCTTTGCTCTCTGTGACCTGGGGGCTGATGTGACTTCTTGGAGCCACAGTCTGCTCGTCTGTAAAATGGGGATGATGACACCTGCCCTACATGGCCGCTTTGAGGACTGATAGAGATGACATTTGGAGAGGGCCCAGCACACAGCAGACTTTCAACGCGAGTCCCCTCCTCGCCACGGTCACGCAGCTGCTGCCAGAGCAGGGCCCTTGTCTTACTCTTCCATTGAACCCTCACAACCAGGGGTCGTCAGCTTGTACTGGCCAAGAGTCAGAGGTCACACGTGCTACATGTGAAGCAGATAATTTCCTCCTCTCTGCCTCCATTTATTTGCCTGGGAAATGGGCTGATACTTGTCCTGTCCACCACACGAGACCACAGTGAGGCGGAAATGGGACCATGGTGGATAAAGCACCAACTACACAGACATGGCAGTTGGCATCAGTACAGCAAGTGCCCGGTGCGCATGGCAGATTGACTGGCTGAAAGAAGGGGTTTCGATTCTCAAGGAGGCAAGAAGGAGGCTGACTGCAAGCAGCCAACAGCAGACGGGTTCATGTGGGCAGGAAGCGCCTCGTCATTATCAGGCAGCTCTGACCGGGCACATCTTCTGCCCGTTGTTGCACAGAGCAGCAGTGGGAGAGGGACGGTGCAGGCCCTTGTCCACCATGATGCCCCTCATCACTGCCCCATCCACACGCTGCCCGACATCTCTGTGGCTCTGCAGGGAACAGCCCATGGCCCTGCATGGACGATCTTTTCTCCCTAACTTTCTCAATGTGAGCTCTATTAGCCAGAGGCTGAGATTTGAGGGGAGGGCAAAGAAATACAAGTTAACATAGTGATGAAGAGCACAGACCCAAGAACCAGAAGGTCCAAGTCCAATCCTGGCTCTACCACTTCTAGCTGTGTGACCTTCAGCAAGTCACTTAACCTCTCTGTGCCTCTGTTTCCTCAACTGTAAAGTGAAGACGTTAATGATACCTACCTCTTAGGGCCGTTATGAAGATTAAAAGGATTAATACATGTAAAGCACTCAGAACAGTGCGTGGCACAGGAAGCGCCATATAAATCCTCTCAGCTTCCCAATCAGGTATCTGGCTTTTTCTGTCCTTTCTACATCAAAGCAGCAACAACAGGGTAAAAACCCTTTGCCAAGAGGATGCCAACTTCTGAGAAGCTGTAATCCCTACCTGGGCGTTTCGTAAGAACTGGGGTTACATTCAGTGAGACAGTCCCCAGCTGCCCCGAGGAAGAGATCTTAACATTGCTGCCCAAGGAAGAGATCTTAACATCGCTGCCTGTTGATTTTCCCCTCTCTCTTCCCGACTTGTAGGGAATTCACAATATTATCATCAACAACAAACCAGGCCTCCGGGAGCTCATCCTTCATGACTCCCTACTTTTATCTCATCAGTTATGGAAATACATGCAAATGAGGGGTTTAAAAAACCTCCAGTACAAAACAAATGAATGGTTCCTCAGATGCCAATGCACACAGAATTCACAGATGGGCTCCTCTAGACGAGGGAAGACGACGGGGGCTGGTGCGCCGGTGCTGGGTACCCGGGAGAACGGGACACCTCGGATCTTCCAGGGTGATGGGCGCCCACTGGGGGCTGCACACGGTGGTGACAATGGCTTAGGGCCCAAGTAACTAATACTGAAGTGTGAGTCCTGGATGTCTCCACTTTTTCAAAAATGGACTTTCTGAAAAATTCACGGGACAGTCCCCTTCTCTAGAAGATTCGCAGGTGGCCAGATGAACCTGACCGTCCCCTTGCCAACAAAAATGGTGTATTTGGTCACCGGCTCCTGGAGAGGTAGCCAGCAAGGCTGGTCTATTGAAAAATACATCCTCCAGCAGGATGGAGGGAGACAAGGGGATAAGAGCTTCTCTCTGAGATCGGGGTGATAGAAGTGATTAAATCCAATGTTCCATGGCCATTTCCCTCAGCTGAGGCATGCCCTTCTTGAAGTATCACTAGAGGCATGTTGACTGTACTCAGGAAACTTAGCAATGGGTCCACTTTCATTTTATCTTAGGGCCAAGGGCTTCCCAGAAGAGCCAGAAGCCTAATCTTATACCAAAAATGGCAAACAGATTTGAGGTCACATCTCAACTTTGATCCGTTGACAGTAACTGCCTCCAGGGCTGTGGTGAGGACTCAGAGGCTCAGGAGGAAAGGTACAGATCAATTAGTGATGTCTGGCACTGGTGTGGGAGCAGGCAGGAGATATACACTTGTTGAGGTATTTGTCATCCCTGCCACAAACTACCTGGCATTATTAATTCAGGGGCACATAGCAGATTCTTTGTGAAATTCTTCTCAAGTGGGCAAATGCTTAAGGACTCCTTCACACAACAAGGGTGTGCGGACACCCCGAACAGAGCAGCTGAGCCCCCAGTCTTGCTTTAAGGGATAGTGGTCTCCTGGGAAAGCACAGATTCTTACTGACCCAGCTCATCTTGTTGGGACATCTGGGTAATAGAACAGAACTGCTAAGGTCTAGATAACAGGCTTAGGATCAGCATCAAAGTTTCCACTAAAGGGGTCAGCCCATGTCATGCATCAGCACCCCCATGGAATGGCAAAGTTCAGGGTAAGTGAGGAGTTTATTTACTAGGCTCTCAGCTCCTAAGAGATGAGGCTTGTTCCTCTTTGAATCTCTGGCACAGAGTAGGTCTTGTAGAAGATTAGAAAGGAAGACAAGACAGACAGAAGGGAGGAAAGAAGGGGGAAAGGTAAAATAAAGAGAAGGGAAGGGACAAGAGGGGGGAAGGGAGCAGGAGGGAAGGAAAGGAAGGAAGGCTGCCTCAGGACAGGCCCTTGGCAGGCAGGTTGTGCTCTCTAAGAGTCTGCAGCTAAGTCCTCCCATCCCGCTCTTCTTACAGCGTGATTCTCAGACTCTCCCCTGAGACGTGGGGTCTGTTCTCTCCCCTGGAATCCAGGCGGGCTTATGGTGATGGGGGAAGGGACCCTAAATGGCTTCCACAGCTAAGACGTAAAAGGAAATAATGCTTCTGCCTGGGGCTCCTGGGATGTTGGCTCTCTGAACCCAGACACCACGCCACGGGGAAGCCCGAGCAGCTGTGGGGAGGTCCAGGGGAGAGGGACCCTGGCCCCAGCCCCAGCTGAGCTTCCAGCCAACGGCCAGCAGCAACATGCCAGCCAGGCGAGCACGCCACCTCACAAGTGGATCCTGCAGGCCCCAGTCGAGCTTTACCAGCTTTACCACAGCTGGCCCTGTGGAGCAGAGGAGAGCTGTCCCCGCCCAACTCCTGCCCAAATTGCAGATTTGTGAGCAAAGGAAAGGCCTATTATTGTCCTAAGCCACTAAGTTTTGGGGTATTTTGTTACATAATAATAGATAATGGAAACATACCTAACACACATTTTCTTTTCTTGAAGGGCCACGACATGCTTCCCTCTGCTTCCTTCGCATGACCCCCAGGTGGACTGACCTGGCCGGCTGTCTGACCCCAGCGCTTACCTGCTATCAGTGCCTGGGAATTTCTCATGGGGAAGGAGCCGGTCATGCCGAAGATGCTGCTGTTGAAGATGGTGGCGGCGCCGCTGAGGATCGCCATGCAGACGATGGTGACAGCAAAGAAGCCATAGGTCCAGGAGGAGGTGTCCACCTTCACTAGCACAGTCATCACCACGAAGATGGCCAGCATGACAGTCAGCGAGGCCAGCACTCGGACATGAACGGAAACCCTAGGATGAGGACGCAGGAAGGGCTTAGAGACCCCCTCGGGCCTCCCATGCAGGGCCGCGGTTGGGGAACATTCTTAAGGGAAGCAGGCAAGTTCAGTGGTTGGGACTGTCTACTCTGCTGTCAGGAGGCCTGGGTGTGAATCCTGCCTTCCTGGCTCACTAGCTGTGTGGCCCTGGCTAAGTGACTCCGTTGCTCTGGTCTCAGCTTCTGCTGAGTGATCAGCAGGGAGGAAAGTGGCTCTACCTGAAGGGGTGGTTGTGAGGATCCCCGGAGGGGAGGGTGTGGAGGGCAGGGAGCAGTGCCCAGCTCATGGCAAAGGCCCAGTGGGTAGGCTTCTTTTCGTATTGCCGTGAGGTTCAAGGACAGGACATGAGGGGTCTGGAGGCAAGTCTCTTGCCCCTCCTGCCACAGGGCTGAGCTCCCGCTGGCTTTGTCTAGTGTTTAAACAGAGCAACTGCCCATTGGGCTGCTTTCCCCCAAAATGTGGCAGTGGGGGAGGAGGGAGAAGGGAAGAAAATCATCATCATCTTCTTCTTCTTCATCATCATCATCGCCATCACTGCCAACACCCAGACAGTACTGAATTGGTGTTAGGTACTCTTCTAAGTGTCTTCTACGTGCTAACTCGTTGAATTCTCACCCAGCTTCACAAGATGGGTATTCTTACCTATCCCACACACACAGGTAAGGAACTGAGGTCAGAGAGGCTAAGGAACTTGCCCAAGGTCACGGCTGTGAACCCAGGAGGTGGCTCCAGGCTGTGCTCTCAGAATGACTCCCTGCCTCCCCTGGAATGAGGGAAATATGGGTGATCCAGAACAGGCGGCCAGGGCAGGATTCTCCTGTGATGGTCTCAGTTGTCATGGGCAGTAGCTGCAGCCAAACTAGTGCAGCCCAGGGCCAGCCCCCCACCCCAACTCCATACCCACATGGAAGCCATATACCCCTTCCAGCCCCACACCCGCCCAGACACCGCCCTGCGGGAGAAGCAGGGAAGTCTGGCTCTCTGAGAAACTGTGCATTTTTATTCCAGGGAGAGAGAACATCATTTAAAGGGGCTGTCAAATCATCAGATTAGACTCAGCTTTAAACAGGATTGGACATTTAGTAAATTTTCCTGCTAACCAGTGGGTGGGGGCTGGGAGAAAAGCCAGAATACACAAATTTTTTTGGATAAAACAGAAAGACTTGAAAGGTAGAAACAAATAGATATATGTACATAAATAGGTGTGAAATGATGAGCGTGTAAAGAAAGGACTTTTTTCAAACTGCTTGTGTGGCCCCAGGCTACTCTGAATTTCCTTCTGATCCCGATCCTCAGCTGAAGGGAGAGCAGGCGCTGCCTCTGCTTTGTAAGGGGCTGGAGGAAGTGAAAAGACAGTTCAAGGTTGCGGAGTGAGTCTGCGGGGTGCTGGGATGAAAACCCAGGTCTGCTGAGCCCCAGCCCAGGGCTATCTGCTAACATGTGTTCTCCCTGATGTCTTCATTCCACAGATGTGCACTGGACATGCACTGTGCTGGATGCCTGGGACACAGGACCGACAAGGGACAGGCATTTTGTTCTAGTGTGCAAAGTTCTAGTGTCCTGTCTAGGCATCCTGGGAACAAATCCACCCTGGGTGTTGCACAGGCTTTGTGGGGGCAATACCTCAGCTGGAGTGTAAGGTGTGTCAGGATGTGTGTACATATCTTGTGAGAGAGCGTGGCACATTCAGGGAACTGAAATAGACTCTGGGGGCAGGTGAGAGGGGGAGTGGAGGAGGCCAGAGAGACATGGAGCCCATCCTGGAGGGCCCTGTCCACCTGATGAGTGCCAGGACTTGATCCTTGGAGTGAGGCACAGAGTAGCTGTATCGTCTTTGTCTGCCAGCATCCTTCCCCCAAAGAACATTCCCTCTTCCATGCCCAGTCGTCTTGGGGAGGTAGCCGGCCATACTGTCCACACCAGCCCAGCCACAAACGATGGGCACATGACTTGGTCTGGGGTGATCAGAGTGTCCCATGCTGCTGGCCACTGGATTGGGTTAGGGATTAGCACATGACCCAGGCAGGGCCAGTCAGTCCTCCCTGAGACGGAAGGGCAGAGAGAAGTTTGCTCTGCTGGGACTGTGTCAGGGGCTGCTGGTCGCCATCTGGCCAGCTGCACGGGGAGAGGCTGAATTCAGGGTGAAGCCAAGTGGACACACACAGAGCCCAGGGATAGAGCAAGAGAAGGAGAGCTCTGTGGATGTTTGCGATTCCCTAGATCCAGCAATGCCTGGAGGCAGACCTGACTTTCATTTTCCAGGTAAAGAAAGAGAAAATTCCTTTTGTGTCTCTATCATTTGTTACCAAGAGTGCTAACTAACAGAAAAAGGCGCAGCAGGGTTTCCAGCTGGGGAGTGACATGGTCAGAAACTCCACCACGCTGTGGGTGCCTTGCCCATGTGCCCTCCTTCTTACCAGAAAGCAGGCTGCAAGGGACAGGCAATTAACACCTCTCAAGAGCAGCCTTCAGCCAATGACGGGGAAGCGGGTGCATAAATACCCCAGCTCCCTCCCCCTCCAGTGTGTGTTCCACGCTGACTCCCAGAGTTCCCAGGGAGGTCAAGCCCGGCAGCCCTCTGTGGGAGCTGGCATGATAAGGCCAGCTTGATAATCTTTTAATGGCTGCCTTCCCTCCCTAGTTTCCCTTCCCTACTTTCCCGCCTTTACCTCCCAAACAAACTACTTGCAACTGAATCCTTGTTCCAGGGTGTGTTTCTGAGGAACCTCACACTAGATGCATCTTCCCAGGGTCTGCAGAGGCCTCGGCCTGGGCAGGAGCTGGCGGGCAGCCAGGTAGAGCACCTGGACCCCTGGGGGCCCAGAGTATCTATTGTGAGTGCCCATCAGGCGCCCTGGAGGCAGGTGGTCAGGACTTACCCTGTCACGCAGTGGCCCCCACCCTCTCCCAGCAGCTGGAGCTGCCCCACCCACCCCAAAGATACAGCCAGCAGGGGCACAGAGCGTGAGTCAGGAGACTGGAGACCTGCCCAGCTCTGCACCCAATGCCCTGTGTGACCCCAGGCAAATATTCAACGCTTCTGGGCCTGTTTCCGCATCTCAAAAAAGAAGAGGCTGGACAAGACAACCTTCAGGTCCCTTCCAGTTTGTGAGTCTAAATCTGAAGAAATTCAAGCAGAGAGGGAGGATGGGAACAGGTGCCAAAAAGTTCTAACAGTTCCTTGGGGCAAGAAGAAGGCACAAGACAGACCAGGAGATAAGAGGGGCACCTCGAGGACAGGGTGCTGTCTTGTTCCCACCCCCAGGGCTGGCACAGGGCCTGTAGGCACCTGGCAAATATCTGCTGGTTGCACAAACTGACAAGCAGCAGGTATCAGTGGAGCAGGGCGGCTTCCGTACCGGGCCTAACCGCGCCCCCGCCAGTCGCTCTCTGCTTCTGGTCCCTTCCACAACGCAGGGAGACAGCTGTAAACATCTGCAGCCTTCCCAGCCAGCCTTGGGAATGGCCTCTGTCTCTAACCACCTCCTGACAGACACGCACAGAGAAAGTCCCCCCCAGGAATGCTGCTGGCATCACGGTGGCTCTCCCGTGCCTGTCACGACAAGGTAATTAGTTGGTTGGACAGGAAGCCTGCTTTGGAGACAGGTGGGAGGCTTCTCACCCAGGCACGCCCCAGGGCTGAGACGAGGGAAGAGTGGGAGATGAGGAGGTGCACGCCCCACACATTACAAAAGCAATGCGCTTCCCACCTCTGCCTCTGCTCCCCCAAGAGGTCCCTCACCTGCACAGGTCTCCTCCTTGCCTGCTAATTACCTGCTGCCTAACCCATTCTCCCTGGGTGGGGGTGGGGCCTCTGCCTCGGGGCTCCAGCCCTCAGGGATCTAGCCCGGGGCTATTTTCAATGCTCATAAAGCTTTATGAAATGTGCCACGCATGAGCCCACCTTCCATGCACTAATGGGAGCACGCTGGCTCCACTCTCTGCTTCTTCCACCCCGGGCAGGGAAAGTGGCCCAGGGGATGGTGACGCTGTTGGGATTTTAGGGAAAGTCTGGACACGTGTTGCCCTGGTGTTGGTGGTTCTGCTCTGGGAAAGCAGATGGCCAAGATGACCACTCCAACCCTGGGACTCTGGGGCAGGTCACACCAATGTGAGATTCTTGGAGAGGGCTGCCAGCTGTACCCAGGCTGCCAGATGCCCCCCCTTGCTCGTGAGGGCTCTGGACCCCAGGGGACTATTTCTTCATAAGTCCCCTGAATGCAAATCCTCCTCATAAGTATTTATGATGCTGCAGATTTAACATAATAAAACACTTGGCGATTATGGATGAGCCAGTCAGAGAAAGCCAGGGTCCTCCACGAGGGGAGAAGAGGAGACATTTCAATTTCGCACATCAATAAAAACAGCTTAGCCCCAAACCATGTTCCCACCGCCAGGAAACAGATGTAGGCCCATGTTGCCCTCACCCCTCCCCTGGGGCCAGAAAGGGCAGGGGCAGGCTCCAGGGTGGGCTGGACCCTTCTAGAGGATGCCCTAAAATGCTGAGCCCTCAGAGCCAGCTCCCCACCCAACCTTGGGGGGCGGCTGCCTGGGTGGCCCATGGTCCCCGCTGCAGACAGACCCAGACCTTCTTAACCACCTCCTTCCTTCCAGCAGCCTGAAGCCAGGGCAGAGAGGGGCTCTCACTAGAAGGGTCTAGGGTGAGGCTCTGGCTACAGGGAGGGGCCGGGCAAAGCAGGGGAACTGGGAGGCAGGTGGCCCAGAGGTTCCCAGCACAGATGTGGGGCGAGAAGGGTCCCAGTTCCAATCTTGGCCCCACCCTCTTAATAGCCAGGTGACCTCTGTGAGCCTGCTTTCCTATCTATAAAACAAGGTCTAAGCTTCGTGCTCATAGGCTCTTGTGAGAACTCAAAGAGACAATGCCTGTAAGGGATGTGAGGGCTCAGAAGTGCTAACTGCTCTTATTAGAGATGATTTTCCCAGGGCTGTGAGGTTGGACCTTCCATGCCCCTGCCAACCCCCGGTCCTGGGCTGGCTTCTGGCCTGCCAGACCTCATGACCACAGAGGAGGCAGTGCCAGGCAAGACGCCAGCTCAGGCCGCCCCTTACTGGCCCTGTGGTCTTGGGCATATCTCCTAACTTCCACCTGGAAAGTGGGTAACATCTCGGCCTCCCTCCTGGGTTGCTGTGCATCCTCAGTGATGTAACAAGCAGGTCACCAGGCGTTACCCCCTTGTTATAGTTCAGACAGTGACTCCAGATCTAGAAGGGGGATGGGAGTTCACATTTATGGGAACCTGGGCTATTCCAGCTAGACAAACCCCCGTCCCCAGGGCCGGCTGAGTGAGTGGTCAGAGAGGATGATGAGAGAGGGCCTGGAAAGAAGAGAGGGCAGTGAGAGGCCGAGGGAATCCCTGCCACCATGGCTCTATCACTTCTTCCTTTTCTCATGGCTTCTCTTTCGAGTCACTGCCAGGGACCCAGCTCTGCCCTCCGGGGGCTGGCAGCGCTGAGGAAACACTCGGCTCTGCTCCTAGCTCCATTCCTCCTCCTCCTTCCGGGGGGCGGTCTCTGGAGGCTGTGCCCCACCTGCTAGGACACTGAATGTAGCCCTGTGTGCCAGGGGAAGGCATGAGGAGGCAGGTTAAGGGCCAGCTGGCTTATGATCGGCGTGGCAAGGCCCTCAGGCCATTGGAGCACCATTCTCCTCCTCATTCTTCCAGCCTGCACTTTGGTGGGCTTTGTGACTGACTGCCTTGGCCAGTCGAGTACGACAGAAGTGACGCTAGGTGACTGCAGAGACTAGGTTACGAAAATCAGGTAGCTCCTGCCCTGCTCTCTTGGAGCACTTGCTCTTCAGCCACAACAGGAAAGTCCTACTACCTGAGGCCAACATGCAAGAGACCACGGAGAGACCAGCGAGAGACAGAGAGAGAGATGTGCCCGAGGAGGCCTGGCAACTCTGGCCCAGCTGCCTGCAACCTGCCTGCATGAGAAACACCAAGTCAGAGCCACTAACTGAGCCTGCTGACTCCCAGAACCATGAGAGACACTAGTTATTGTTATTATTATTATTTTTGCCTTCTCTGGTTTTTTTTTTTTTTGTGAGGAAGATCAGCCCTGAGCTAACATCCATGCCAATCCTCCTCTTTTTGCTGAGGAAGACTGGCTCTGAGCTAACATCTATTGCCAGTCCTTCTATTTTTTCTCCTCAAAGCCCTAGTAGACAGTTGTATGTCATAGATGCACATCCTTCTAGTTGCTGTATGTGGGACGCACCCTCAGCGTGGCCGGAGAAGCAGTGCCTCGGTGCGCGCCCGGGATCCGAAGGAGCCCGGGCCGCCAGCAGCGGAGCGCGCACTTAACCGCTAAGCCACAGGGCCGTCCCCTATTGTTATTATTTTAAGCCACTATGCTTTGGGGTCATTCTTATGCAACAGCAGATAATTGGAAGAGCCCCATAGCCTAATCTGTTTGGAAAGACTGGTCTATTTAGGATTAGTGCACATGAGGCACATGTGCCGCCCTCTCTCCTCCTGTACTCGGAGCAAACATCACTAATCAATCACAGCACACCCCCTGAGGCCAGACCTGCCTTAGAATCCTGTTCAACCAGAGATCCAGGCAGTCGCTACAAATCAAGCAGAGTTGGGTAAAACAGATTTGCCATCAGTGATGCAAGGTTTCAGTAGGCTGTGCCCAAGAGAAGCCCTGGTTTCCGAATCATAACGTAGCCACCGTTATCACTTAGTGGTGGCTTAGGGGAAATGCAGGCAAAATAGCGAGGGCTGTTGCCCTGGTAAACCCAAATTGAGAACGGGTGGCAAAAGGCTGTGCTAATTTGTCTGGCCGTCTCCTAAATCACTCCTTCTTCCTCAGTGCATCCAGATGGAGGCTCTCTCCTGGCCCTTACTAACACAGTGGCAGAAGTTCCCTACTGACCTCTTTGTGAGTCGTTGACACCTGAGCTGGTGTTACCCATTCCCACATAGCGAGAGCCAGAGTTGTGGGATGCCAGGCTCCTAACTTCTGACTGCTCTCAGAAATGCTTGGAAGACCAGCTTCTACAGGCCTTGCTCCCTGGGCCCCGCCCCACCGTCCACATGGTGTCCCCCAGCTGCAAGGCCTGCAGCCCAGGCAGCTGTTGACAGACAGGCTCCGGAGGAGAAGAGACGAAGACACGTGTTCCCACACGCCTCCTGCTGGCCGCTGACACAATGTCACAGCGTGTGCCTGGGAAGTGGAAGTCCAGCTCCCTGACTGGGCACTCCATCGGCCGGGCCCAGGTAACTGATCTGACTTCCCAGTCCTCACGGAGGAGTCTGAGCCACCTGCCTCCTGCTTTGGTGGCCACCATTTATGCAGGCAGAAAAGCAGCAGCAGTGGACGAAACGGGGGTGGAGAAGGCTGGAGTGAAGGTCGGGGCCTGAGAGAGGGAGGGCAGTGGCCTACCTGTTGACAAGCAGGAAGTTCGCCATGAGGCACAGCACGGAGGGCACGGTGGAGGCGACAGAAAGGTAGCTCTCAAAGTAGTTCTGCAAGCACAGAAGGGAGGAGGCCGCTGAGGTCACTCGGGACGGAGGGCCCACCCGGGAGCAGCACAGAAGGGAGGAGGC